TTACTGCTGTCATTTTTATGTATTTTGTGTACGTGGTGAGAGAGAGAGAGTGTGTGTGATGTTGACAGTTTCTTTGTTCTTCTTAATTTTCTTTGCTGAGTTCTTTTTGTTTATGTATTTTCTTTCATCCCTTTCATTATTGTTGATTTTGTATTTGCCAAGTCTTTATGTTTTTCTTCTTTTTTATTTTGATGGGTAGATTTGTTAGCTTCCTTTGTGGTTACTTTGAAATTTACATTTATTTTTCTAAGTTTTAACCAGTCTTTTATTTTTTGATATTGCCCTGACTTCCTCTCCATATGGAAGTTCTATGACTACACTGTTTATTCCCTCTTTTTTGTTTTGATGTTGTCATCATTTACATATTGATATCTCTGGTTCCCTATCTTCAGTCCTTTAGCTTTGATTATTTTTTTATGAATTCCCTATCTGGGTTGATAACTGGTTGATCTGTCCTGTGGCCTAGTCTTGAATTGTTGTCTGATGTTGTTAGTTCTCTAACCAGAGAACTCTCTTTAATATTTCTTGTAATTTTGTTCTGGTTTTTACAAATTCCCTTGATTTTTGTTTATCTGCAATTTACCTAATTTCGCCATCATATTTGACAGACAATTTTGCTGGATATGTAATTCTTAGCTGGCAATTTTTTTTTCCTTCAAGGTTTTATATATGTCATCCCATTGCCTACTTGCTTGCATGGTTTCTGCTGAATAATCTGAGCTTAGTCTTATTGGTTCTACTTTGTAGGTGACTTTTCATTTATCTCTAGCTGGTCTCAGGATTCTTTCTTTGTCTTTGATTTTGGCAAATTTGTTTATGAGGTGTCTTGGTGAATTTCTTTTGGGGGTCTATCCTGTATGGGGTTTGTTGAGCTTGTTGGGTAGATATCTTCTTGTCTTTCATGATATTAGGGAAGTTTTCTGCCAGCAAATCTTCAACAATTTTCTCTGTGTTTTCTGTTATCCCTCCTTGCTTTGGTACTCTTATCACTAGTAAGTTTTTCCTCTTAATACTATCTCAGATAATTGTTAGACTTTCTTCATTTTTTTTTCATTCTTTTTATCTCATTTTTCCTCAAAAAAATTGGTGTCAAAGGATTTATTTTCAGTCTCACTAATTCTGACTTCCATTGTCTCAGTTCTGCTCATATCACCTTCTATTGGGGTGTCTAATTCTGAAATTTTATTGTTAATCTTTTGGATTTCTAGTTGCTGTCTCTGTATGGTTTCTAGCAGCCTGTTTATTCTGTCATTTTGTTCTTGTATCGATTTCCTGAATTCTTCTATTGCTTTGCCTGTGTTCCTTGACTTGGTTTGAGTTTTGCCAGATCTCCTTTCTGATCTCTTGGAAAGGTCGTATATTGGTCTTTTGAATTCTTTATCAGACAGTTCCATTGTCTTATCTTCGTCTGGCAGGTTTTCTGGTTCTTTATTTTGGTCGTTTGCTGGAGCCATCTTGTCATGCTTCTTTATGTGATTTGATATTGACTGTTGTCTCTGAGGCATTGATAAGTTATTATATTGATTTATTTATTGTATTTTTGTTTACCGCATCCTGTATTTTTGTTTAGCTTTGTTTTGTTTTGATATGTTCAAGTAGGCTGTGTGTGTGTGTGTGTGCTAATTTGGTTGTTGATGTCATTTAAGCTCTCAAGTCCTGTCTCCAGGTGGTCAGAGCAGCTACCCAGGTGTATAAGCCCAGGAGTCTGTTCATTGTTCTTGTTGCATGGGTGTGGTTGTTCAGGGTGCAGGTGTCCAGGTCACCAGTTACCAATTGTATGGTGTGGAGACTCTTGCGTACAGTCATAGGCATGCAAGGCTGCATGGAGGTTTTCAGAGCAGGCACATGTCTCTGGTTGCAGGGTGGGGCTAGGCAGGGGGCTGTTGGCTGCTCCTGGATGTCTAGACAGAGGGCACATCCCTGCCTGCTAGAGCACGTAGTGGGGTGGGGTAGTGCAACTAGTCCTTGTGTGCCTGGTGCTGTTGGCTGGAGGGGTTGAGAGGTACCAGTCATTCTCAGGCCCCTGTCGTGGGTGGCTAGATGGAATGGGTGTTACTGCCAGCCCTCTGGCCTGTAGTATAGGTGGGTGAGACCCCTTCTTAGGGGGTGGGGCAGTGTTGAATGTCACAAATCTGCAGCTCCCCTTTGGCTGCTGCAGGTGAAAATGGGCTTCAGGTGAATGCCCTGTCCATTTCATGCTAATGAGGGCATGCGATATTGTAATGGTCCATAAGGCACTCGGGTGTGGATGAAGGGTGCCACAAGTCCATGGACCCCCTATGCCTGTGGCTGGTGAAGCGGCAGGACCTCAGGACCTACTGTGAGTTCCCAGCTTAGGAGGCTTAGTGTTGTTGAATGCTGTGGGACTGGTGTTGGAGCAATGTGGGGGATAGGTGAGGGGAAGGAAGTGCTTCTTGGATGTGGAGCTCTTGTGTGGGGAGGGGTTATGGTGTCAGCATGTGCGGTGGGTTGGGAGCTTTCACTTAACTTTTGCAGGTCTAGTGTCACTTCTGTTTGGTTCTGGAGGTTCTTGCATTTTCACTGCTGCTGGGCTGCACCAGCTGGGGTGGGCCTCGGCTTGGGATATTGCTGCTTGCCTCAGCCCTTGTGCACTGTGCAGTCTCAGCTAGCAGGATACCGGTGATCCCACTATCTGTAGATCCCTGTTTCTGCTGCTTTTGAATTATCTCTCCTTCCACCTGCTGCTCAGTCTGATTCTTCAGCTTTGTCTTTGATGATTAGGGTTCCTAGATTCTCATATATATTCGATTCACTTGTTTTTTTGGGTCTTTGTTGTAAGAGGGATGACAGGAAGCATCTGAGTATTCCACCATCTTGGCCCTGCATCTAGGATACAGAATTTCTATTTGGGGTAATGAAAATGCTCAGGAATTAAATAGTTGTAATATTTGCACAACTTTGTGAATATACTAAAAAGCACTGAACAGAAGGGCAAATTTTATCATAGGTGAATTATATGTGAAAAGAGGGAGATAAAGAGAATGGGAGGAGAGGAATTGGTGGCAGTGAGTATATATATAGATATAGATATAGAATTATACACGCAAAATTTATTTCAAATTTTCCCTTACTCCCCAGTGTCATAATATAGCTTAGTAAGATTCTGTGTAGATGTGGGGTGTGGCTTTATTTTATGAGATAAGAGAAAGGCGATTGTGAAAGGGACTGTGGGAAAGGAGAACTTGTGTGATGGCACCTGCTTTTTGAGCAGACCATTTTTAAGGAAGCATATACATGGAATTTGAAGTTCTGAAAATATTTTACAAAGTAAAATTTGCCTTGTAAAGGTTTTATGTACTTCTAGTGTACGTAGTGTACATAGTATGTCCTATGGGGGCAGTTCTACTCTGTCCTATAGGGTTGCTATGAATCAGAACCAACTTGATGGCAATTTTTTTTTTTTTTGGTTTAGTGGTGTGCATACTCCTATTTGAAGAACACTGTTCTAACAAAATAACTTCTAAATTTCACTTTTTCTCACCCCTCCCTTCAGTACCCACTGTTCTGACAAGAATTTCAAACAAAAAATTTCCCTATATTTTCTTAATGTTCTAAAATTTCTACAGACTCCCTTATATCATAGGGTGGAATAGAACTTTCTTGAATCTTCATAAAGACTTCTATTATCTTTTCAAGGCTTTCAAGGATTTTATTTCTCCTACATGCTGCATTTTAACGTATTCCTATAAAACATCTTTTTGTTCCCAGTGAACCTCATTTTCTAATCATATGTATATCAAGATAACCAGCTGGCTAGTCTTTCCTTTTTCTCTTCAATGAAGTAAAACCTACATCCAGCTATAAACAGCCTTTCTTAAGCATTTTCATAACTGAATACACTATAATATTTGGATACTTTTCTAGTGTATCCTAAACCTTTATAATTGAAATATTCCTATTAATGACTGTTCTTAATAACCAGGCCAAATTTCAATGTCTATAGTAGGTGAATCTTTAGATCTGAATCCGAGAATAGTTCATACGTCTCTGGGTCTCATGAAATACAGGCAGGACTCTCTCTTCAAAATCCAGGACAAGAAACAACGCAGGAATGTCTGCTGGTGGAAAGATCGGACCCCTTTACAACAAATTTTACAGGTTGAACTAAATATAAAGCATATCACAGTATGTATTACTGTTTTCTGTACGGTTATGCAAACATGTGGGATCCATATTAAGGTATTTTACAAGTCAAGAATATAAAGGAATAGCCATATGAAACATCATTCTTTATAACTTATATATAGCATTGCTAAATAATAAACAAGTAATGTATCTTATACAAAAGTGACGCTATTTACAATAATTCATCAATAATGCTTTCTCTAAAAATATGTTAATAGAAAATAAACAGCTTAAATTACTTCTGATCTTTTTTTTAAAAAAAACATTTTTTACAGATTTTTTTAAACCAGAGCTTGGTTCTCATACCTAAGAAAATGATCATGTAAGAAATTCTCCATTTGTGGACTCCTGGACACGTTTTCCTCCTTTTGTTACAGTGCCAGAGGTCAATTCCAGGCATGCTATTTGGGCAAAGGCATTCTTACCAGCAAATAAATGTAGACGTAAAAATGAACATATAAGTTCAATGCTATTCTTATTTACCAAGATGTTTAGCTCCACACAAATGACAGTTTCCTTTATGATCCTTATACAATATAATATAGTGCTCCTTGAGTCATAATGTAAACAGTTTTTGATATAAGATTTAACTGCTGTTTGTTTGCAATGGCAGTGTTCATTGTTCATTTGCTGCAGTTGTTTTTGATAATCTAGTCTAGCTCTCCTCAGTCACCTTATTAGTGTTTATACCCTGAATCCCTTGTGTAAGTCAGCTTCAAAAGGTGTACCAAGAGAGGGTACATTAGAAAACATAGCCCTAGTAGAGAGGGAAATTGAAAAATGCAACTAGCTAACATATTTGTGTATTACTTTACGGGACATATAATCATTCTTTACTTTTTCAAACCATCTAGGTGTCCTGCAATTGAAAGAAGAAACTATTGAAAGTTTGCTGGCTGCAGCTTGTCTCCTGCAGCTGACTCAAGTCATTGAAGTCTGCAGCAATTTTCTCATAAAGCAGCTCCATCCTTCAAACTGCTTAGGGATTCGATCCTTTGGAGATGCCCAGGGCTGCACAGAGCTCCTGAAGGTGGCACATAAATACACAATGGTAAAATAAATTGACTCAAATTATCTTGTAGTAATAAGATATTAACACAATATCTAAATTGCTGATTATTTAATGTATATATACATTCTTTTCAAAGTAAGAATATAATATATGATGTCAGGATAAAACTAATAAACAACATAAATTTAAACAACCTAGCAAATGACTTGCATAGAATATATATTGGATACAAATATTTGTCTGATTAAGCTGTACTCAAACAAGTTTCTTATTTTTGGAACTAAGAGATTTAATTACATCTCAAATTTTGTATTCATAGCTAGGGAAAATTAAAATTTTGCCAAAAGGTAAATTATGAAAATGCATATTTGAAGTCAAGGTCATAGAATTAAGAAAATATTAATTCCATGATGTTTTTCTGTGTTGTTAGAACTTCAATTTGTAAAATTGTACAAATTATGATTCGTAAGGAAAGTTCAATATTATTCAGTAAGGAACAATACTATTATTCGTGGATTGACATTAACTGGAAGAGTTTAAGAACTACTTAAATTAGTAAATCATACAATTTTATTGAATGGATTTCTTATGTCTTAATAAAAAAAATGTGCTTTAGCTAAAAACAATTGACAATTCAATCCTTTAATTTATACTAAATCAAAACCCCTCTCAGTTCCATTAGAAATTATAATAAATGAGCATGTTTGTATATGGTAATTCTTCAAAAGTTGCATAGGATAAGACTAGCTTTCTTCAGTCAAGTGACTTCAAGTCAAATGAAATATAGACTCTGTAGAGAGATAAGAAAAAATGGACAAGGAGATACTAAATAAACCCTACTGTAAGTGCTAATATTTCCCTGATGCAAAGAAGAAAGTGAACTTTTTAAACCTCTGAAGCTTGGGAGGACACAAGAGGTCAATCTTTCTGTGAAACTGAATCAGAACAAATATTTCAAACTAATAAAATTGCTCCACTTATTTCTTAAGATTAAAAGACAAAAAAGCAAATGCACACAAGTGAACGATAATCATACCTAAAAATGGTAAGCAAAACCAGCCTTACGGTTTTGGGATTGAGATGCATATAAGTAAAGAGTAATTTTCTAGAGTTTTATACAGAACTTAACATTGTCAAATCTCTAAATTTGAATTTTCTAAAAGTTTCTTGTGAAACTTTCCCCCTCCTCCTACCAACCCCAGGTCATTGTTCAAATTTGAAGTTCCGAACATAATCATAACAATACTATTATATGGAGAATCACACTATAATGGATTGGCATTTTAAAGTATTTCATTCAGTTATGCTATTTATATCACTGTGTCCTAAATACAGATGTCGTATAATCTAAAAAAACAGCAGTTATATAGTTCAAAGGTTAATCCTACCACAAAAGCCAAGCATGAAAACTTCCTGTTAAATTACTTAAAGTCTTGAACTAAGTATTAACAGTTTCCTGACTGGTATCTTACTCTTGCAGACAAAAACGCTTTCTGATAAACAGCTTGAATTATTTGTGTAGCTCAAAATGAACTTGTCTTCCTTTTCCTATTATGTGACCAAAACTGAGTGTTAAGGCAGGATATGCATAAAATCATAATACTGCTGTCTCCTTTAATTCCCCATCTTCAGTTATTTTGGTATCTATTGTGAATGCAGTCAAAATAGGCAAATTTCTTTTTACAATAATGCTTTTGTAATACTGGATTACAGTATAAGAAGGTAAATAATTTTAATGTCTAAGAATAATGTTAAACTTGTAGGTATTTAAATTATAGTCATATAAATTTAAATAATCTGAATCAATTAAGCATTCAGAAAGTAGGTTATATGCATTTAATTAGTCTAATAACAATACAAATGTGAATTAAAAAATGATTAGCAAGCTCAGACCACAAAAGATTCTTGGAAAGAAGTATATAAAGTGTTTACCTTAAAATTAGGAAAAAAATAACTCCAAAGTAAAACAATTTAAAATTAGTTTTAAGCATAACTAATTATTTATCTACAGTACTGGATACTGCAGTGCCATATGTAGATACTTTCAGCCAATAAATTTATTTTTTATTTAAACTAATGTACCATATTGTCCAGCGATTTTCAATAGTCTCATCAGGTGGCAACTCTGTAACTGTAACAGATTCAATCAGAACAATCTGAATTCTGGCTGTCTAAATATGACCACAATAGCAACCATTTTTAGTCATTTCATAACTCTTTCAAATGTGTAATCAATTTAATGGACTATGTTATGATCCACATTAGCGTTTGAATGGGTTTTACACACTGAGTCAGTCTCTTTCTTTCTTCCTTCCTTCTTTCTTGCCTTTCTTTTCTTCTCTCTCTCCTTCTCTCACTTTCTTTTTTGTTTTCTGTTCTTTCATTGGGAAGTAGATAGAAAGGATAGTATGTGTGATCTGGGTCTGGGATTTTTCATAATATTAACACAGCTTCAAGTTTACATACAATACCAGTAATAGGTAACTGTAAATTTCATTAAAAATTATGTCACTTGTGAGAGGCAGTGGCAGTATTGCACAAAATGCAGTAGACATGATGTCAGAAGACTTAGGTTTGAGTTCAGACATTGCTACTTACTACTTAATAGACTAGACAATTCATATAGCTTGCTTTCTAATCAGAATAATTCCACAAGGTAGAGGTAGTGATGACTTAATACTTATGACAGAATTCTGTAATGTGTGAAGTGCTGTACAAGTGTAATATATTAGTAATTGTATTGTCATCATTTTTTGCTACAAGTGAGAAGGTTTTCAACCAGGGGCACCTGCTACATTAAGAACATTTCTCTCCCAATTGCTTACCTTAGTCACAAGAAGGTTCTTTGTCTATATAGGCAAGTTGGTTTGGGACTTATGTCATCACAGCTTCCTGATGATCTGGTGGGTCAGTCAACCTTGATGATTATTGTATAGATTATTTTTCTATTAGGATAACTCAGTTCCACAATGACTAATCTCACAGTAGAGCTGAGGGAGTTATGTAGTTTCTCTAGACCTCCCCCAATTATTCAGAGGCTGTCTTAAGCTGCTCCTAGAATATCTGTTTATTGTGGAAACATAAGTTGCTATGTAGACGTGTTTATCTCCATTTCAGAAGTATATTTTCTTGTGGAGATCTTCACTCTGATAAATGTTAAAAATGATAATTGTGTTGTCAGAGCAAAAAATATATACCATGTATAAAGTGAAGAAATATAGTAGTGTTTTGATGAAAAAATAAATTGAGCTGCCTGAAATTTCATAATTGTTCAAATATGAGACAACACTATGGCAAGAAGGAGAATTGAGGTATACTACATAAAAGTTGAAGAACAGCTTCTCGCCACCCCCCCCCAAAAAAAACTTCATAGGAGTTCTTTTTAGATTTTCCTGAATCTGTAGATTTTTATCTATTGTAAAAGGATATTTTGCCCTTCTTGCTTGGTAAATGATGCTTTTCCAAAAAAGGAAGTATTTTTTCATAAATCTATTTAAATATTTAGGTGTCTGGGAACCAGGCGAGCACCACTCTCATCTTGAAGGGGTTCTGTCTTTTGTCCTGAATGCACAGCCCTAGCTAATGCCCAGGACTTCAAGATAGCCTCTACCTTGAAAACTTTCAGTCTTGCTCTTAGGATTTTTGGCTAAAGACTATGTTAACATCAGCCAGCACTGGAATCATGAGCTGTTGTTGTCACATTCAATAGCTGGGAGGGAAAAACATTGCTATCAGCTCAAGCAACTCTGTTCATGAGACTTGTGAAGCAGTTAGGGGCTTTCCTTGTGTTCAGTAAATAATTCCCAGTGGAATCATTTGACTCAGTTTCAGAGGGCTCCCCACTTCCCGCTGTCATGGGTAGTAGCAATGGCACCTATTTGTTGTAAATGGATATATCTGCCTCTCTGGCCTTTTCTGAAGTTTAACTCAGTAAAACACTTTGATGAGTTCATTTTGTTAAGACATTTCTGAAGTGCCAAGTCTCAGTAGAAGACCTTTCTTTTCTAGGAGCATTTCATCGAGGTAATAAAGAACCAAGAATTCCTTCTACTTCCAGCTAATGAAATTTCAAAGCTTCTGTGCAGTGATGATATTAATGTACCCAATGAAGAAACCATTTTCCATGCTCTAATGCAGTGGGTGAGACATGATGTGCAGGCGAGGCAAAGAGACCTGGCGATGCTGCTTTCTTACATCAGACTGCCATTACTTTCACCACAGGTATGGAAATTTACCCAGGTAAATTAAATCATAGTTCTAAACTACCACTAGGCACAATCTAAATCCTTGTCTAATTTTATTTTATTCAGAAGATTAGTAATTGGAATAAACAGGATTTGTTTCCCAGAAAGATATATCCAGCTTTTAATTAGCGGTATTAATGGTAGAGAGAGAGGAAACACAGATTAAAAAAAAAAAACATATAATCCCTAAACTTCAGAATATTCGTTAGTTTTAGTTTCAGTTTCCTTTCTCACCAAGTAGCATTTATAACAAGCAGGAAAAATGACTAACACTTTTTCTTCCCCATCCCACCTTCTAGGCAAGGTGTCATAATCAGTAAGCCTCCTAGAGGAGACTCTAGGAAGGAGTCAGTTCCAGGATAATACCTACTAAGTAGCATATTATAATCATACCAGATACACTAGAGCATCACTATAATGGCATCTTCATTACTTATGCTGAGGATTACAGTAAAGATGATTCTAAAAACAGACACCCTTGGATAAAATTCATGATTTACCCTCCTCATACTGAATTTTGGAGCCCTGGTGGTACAGTGGTTAAGAGCTTGGCAGCTACTCAGAAGGTCGGCAATTGGAATCCGCAGGGCACTGCTTGGAAACCTTGTGGGGCAGTTCTACTCTGTCCTGCAGGGTCACTATGAGTCGGAATTGACTCGATGGCAACGGGTTTATCCTGAATTTTATAGTATGTGTAGATTAGTGAAGCTGGAGCATAGTCCCACTACTATATGACTATATTACGCATATGCATTTTATATTTATTTAACCCATGGCTAAAGTCATCAAACATTGTCATGTCAGGAAAGAAGGGCCATATCTGACCTTAATGGATCAGTAGTTTCATAAACATTAAAATTAATGAGTTTTTAAACATTACTAATTAAAAATTAATATTGAAAAAATAGATCGTTAATGTGCTGACAATTTCTCCCATATTTTTCATTTTAGCTGTTAATTAAATCACATGAAGTTGCATATTTGCTCTTAGTGTAATTTATATGCAACAAAAGAACATTGAGTGTCATCCTGGGTATAGCAAATTGATCCAAAGGTCAAGACAGTAGTAACACCAAAAAGAAAAAGTTAACATGTATGTGTAAGTTTAAATCTGCAGTTCTAAACCTGGAATTGATGGATGAGCTTCGGAATCTGTAGAAAATTGTATATTTGTATGTATGTATGTACATTTATGTGTGCTGTTCTGGAGAGAGGGTCCGTATCATTCATTTATCAGATTCTCTAAGGCAGTGCTAGTCAAAATTACCCTGGACCAGCAGCATCACCATCACCTGGGAGCTTGTTACAAATGTAATTTCTTAGGCCCTACCCTAGACCTACTGAAATAATTTCTGGGACGAGGCCAAGGAATCTGTTTTAACACGTTCTCCAGATGATTCTTAGACATGCTAAAGTTTGGGATGCATTGGTCTAAGGTATCAGAGGTCCTTAAATTTACATTACCTTAAGTTTGTATGACATTTCTTCAGCAAAGTGCTTAGTTTGCATTCCTCTTTATTAGAATGAGGGGATTTTTCCAGCCTAAACACACAACCAGTGATGCCTTGGCATACCACTACTGAGTATGCCTTATGCTCAGAATGTAGACTGTGTGAACCTTTCATGGTGATGGTAGTGGTGGGGAATGACATGCAGAATATATAGGCTTTCAGATAAAATACAAAAGTGACCTTAAACACATATTTTATAAATAAACTATATGTAGAAGATAGTTATGCATCTCTGAAGGAAACTTGTTGGGGGGGGGGAGTACATAGCCCAGTTATCAAACCTTTTTCCAGCAGCACATGCATTCAGGAAGTTCCTGGGGTCTCATCAGCCAAGTCAAAGCAGTGATCCATCACAGATTACAGGTGGGGTGATAACAGAGCTGGGGTTAACTAGTGCAGAGCAAGAAACTTTAGGGAAGTTTTATAGAATGATTAGCGTCTCCATGCCACCAAACTACTTGCTACCTCTCCCCAATGTCCTATGATAGAGGACCCAAAAATCTGAAAAACCAATCTAATCTGACCCTTGAAAACATTCTGAAACAAGTACTTGACTTCTTCCCAAATCCTCTCAGGAAAAATACCTTAGCTAGCTTTTATCCCATTCAGTTAAGGTTTTATCATCTACCAGGTAATGACAGAAAGGATTGATCATCTATTTTTGCTGATGTGTTAGCTAGTTACTAGCACATGTACCTTAACCCAGTTAAAAACCACTGTTCTTAGAATACCCTACATGCGTGATTTAATGATAAAAGATGCAGTCCTATGGGTGATATATTTTAAATGAGCATGTTTGGGCCACTGGAAAAAAAAATCCACCAAGAGTCTGGCTTTTTGCTCTGGCTACATGCAGTAGACTGGGAGATTCTTGCTTTGTACAGACATAGCCATTCTCTTTGAGTGCTTTCAGTAATACTTTCATGAGTTCTTTTTCACTCTCATTCCTTCAGATTGTGTGTGTACATATTCAAAAGACAAATTATATATCAATAAAATATATCTGCATATATCATTAGCTACAACTATGAGGCCTTTAGCCCTTTAAAAATGTGAAGTGAAAATAAAGATCTTTTAATAAGTAATTTCAAATATTAAATAATAAAACTTCTGCATTTGAATTAGCTCTAGTTTTCTTATAAGTGATATAAACACAAATAGGTTCTTTCTAATAGTGGACTGGTAGACATGCATCATTACTTTGCAGTTACTGGCTGATCTTGAAAACAGCTCCATGTTTGCTGGTGATCTTGAATGTCAAAAGCTTCTGATGGAAGCTATGAAGTATCATCTCTTACCTGAAAGAAGACCCATGATGCAAAGCCCTCGGACCAAGCCTAGAAAATCAACTGTGGGGGCGCTTTATGCTGTGGGAGGAATGGATGCTATGAAAGGTAATAGGAACAAATTAATTAATTTTAGAAAGTATCTTCATTCAAGAAAAGAAAGTATATTAACAACGTTCTCCAAATCATGAAGGTGGTATTAAAGGCATGTTTAAATAAGTGCATCTAAAACTAATTTTCACAAATGGGGTACTCCGTGTGATTTTGTGACCTCATTTCTTTTCTTACATTATGGAGCTTAACCCTTTCATTATTGTTGCCTAAACTCTTAACAAACACTTTTATTTTATGAAAGCAATTTTTTAATTTGGGTATTAGCTTTGCAGTATTAAATATTTTCAGAGAAAACTTCCATTTATTATAAATGGAAGGAACAAATTTCTCCAAATTTGTTTTTTTGACAGAAACAGAAAAGTGACCTGCAGCTCCTTGCTGTCAATTTCTTAAGATGCTCAAAGGCCAATTATGAAAAATCTTGAAGCGTTGATCTTGAGATCTGTATTTCAAAACCTGGAGCAAAATAATAACTTTAAATAAGAATGTCATCAAAGAGAATAGGGAAAAGTTTCTGGAGCCATCATTGTTAACCTGGATCCTTCTTAGAATCTAGTTTTTATACCCTGCCTTTTCTACCACTGATTTCTCAGTCTGTGGACCATGTTGCTAAAAAATGAGAAAATAATTTTATAATTAAGAGTTGGCTGTATAGAAGATAAAATCCTCCAACTTAACGTTTGGCACGTCTTACATAGATAGTTCATTTGACACCTTGTAGAAAATGATGTAAAACTCAAAGTTTTGTGCTACTAGAAACCTATCCTTCTTTTGATATGTATAACTGGAAATTTAGGTAAGTACATAGGAAATATGCCAATTAATCATATACCTACAGAACAAGAGCTTGGGAATGTAATTATTTACAAACCTGTAGGGTTACTTCACAGAACTAGTTTTTTAAGAAAATAACAAGGTGGGATGCTATAATTCACTCAAGTCTATCAACTGTCTATTTTATTACATTTTGTTGAATAAAATAAATACTAATAGAATTTTAGAAAGTTTCTTTTTTGGTATTTAAATTAAAAAAAAAAAGCTGCCATTAAGTTGATTCCAACTCATGGCAACCCCATGTGTTGCAGAGTAGAACTGCAGTCCATAGGGTTTTCATGGTTGTGACTTTTTGGAAGCGGATTGCCAGGCCTTTCTTCCAAGGCATGTCTGGATGGGTTTGAACTGCCAACCTTTCAGTTAGTAGTAGTTGAGCACTAAACTGTTTGAGCCACCCAGAAACTCCTGGTATTTAAATTAGAGGGGTACCAAATACAAAATAGGATTCCTGGGTAGTGCAAATGGTTAAGCTCTGGACTACTAGCCTAAACGTTGGCAGTTTGAACCCGCCCAGAGACTCCTCGGAAAATAAGCCTGGCAATTTGCTTCCAAAAGCTCACAGCCTTGAAAACCCTGTGGAATACAGTTCTATTCTGACACACGTGGGTTTCCATGAGTCAGAATCTATTTGAAACCTACTAATAACAACAACACACACATACAAAATGCAAGTGCAGTTATTTTTAGCTTCTGAATTAATATTTTTTAAAAAGCCTAAACTGCAAATTGAGAAATGGGAAATTCTGTATTTATTTTTGCTTTTTTTCCCCTATGTTATTTTCTCAAGTCCCTCTTGCTTAAGCTTAGTTACGTAAAGGAATGTGTTACCAAAAAATGGTTATCAGTATATACAACTCTTTATTAGTTTCATAAAAAAGAGTGTAATATGAACCTGTAATTACTAGATTCTATTACCACATTTTGGTAAGGAAGGGAGTGAGACCATCATTTGGAGATCCTTTGAGTACCTAGTGTTGGAGACACTATACAATTTCTGTGGGACATTATAGAGTATTAGAATAGTAAAAACTATCATTTTGAGTACCTACTCCTGGATACACATTTTGCAAATATATCTTCTAATCTTCACAGTAATGCTAAAAAATAGATATTATTACCTCCACTTTCCAGATGAGGAAACTAAGGCTCTGAAGGTTAGAAACCATCTCAAGGGCAAACATCTAGAAAGACTAGAACTGGAATTCTTACTCAAATTCTCTGTTCCTTTTTGTTACACTGCCACTATTTCAGAAGAAACAACAACAAAACTTCTCCCTCTATTTGAGGATCTTAGAATCTATTAAAGAAGCAGAAGAACACTTAGGAACAAAAAAAAAGGAAAGAAGGAAAAGAAAGAAAAAACTAAAAATTATAGCAAAAACACTAAAGGCATAGATGTAGCATTTATCTGTATAAATCAGTATTACATTAAAAATGTACCAATTTATATTCTTTCACAAAACTATAAAAAATTCCTAAACATGTGCCTTTTTTTAATAGAGTATCGTTTCACTTATCTTTTTGTTTAAAGATACTTTCTGAACTTTCACCTTTTGATGTCTAGGAAGCACAGTACTTCCTCAGTCTTTAATTTCCTCTCTGACTCATACAAGTAACTTGGAATTAGTTGTTAAATATAGATGTCACGCAGATGGCTGGGGTTAACTACAACTCCTACCATGTACATTGAAGGAACCATCAGGAAATTGTAAGTATGATTATAGTGTCAAGATAAAATATGGTCAAATGATAAACTTTGGGTGTCTTGTGCATATAAGGTCTTTAGTAATTTTATTCATTAAAAACAGTGAATTCTGAGGGATAGTATTACAAGGGACAAGGTAAAGGCTAATATAGTCACTTTAAATCATTTTTTAAAAATAGATGGGAAAAATCACTAAATCATATATATTTCCAAATGCAGGAACCATAATGTTGCCAACAATACTACAAAGTTTGGTTGATTTTGCACACTATTGAACAGATCATAAGTGAGGGTTAGAAATAAATTGCAGCGTTAAGGGTAGACTGTTGGTTTACACAGAAAAATTTTAAAGTGAGTTCTAAAGAGAGAGAACTGCCAGAAATCTATTCCATATGTCTTTTCCCATCAAAGGAAACCTTGGTGACCTAGTGGTTAGGAGTTCGGCTGCTAACCAAACAGCCAGCAGTTCGAATCCACCAGGTGCTCCTTGGAAACCCTATGGGGCAGTTCTACTCTGTCCTATAGGGTTGCTATGAGTCGGAATCGACTCGATGGCAATGTGTTTGGTTTTTGGTTTTTTCCCCATCAAAAATAGAGCTGCCATAGTAAGCCAGCTAGCAGATTTACATTTTGATTAATTGGAGCAGTGAGGGTGGGCAGAGGGACCAAAGACGTCTTCAGAGTCCAAGATACAAAACTATTAGTCATCAGTGTTTGTGGTTGTGATAAAGAGGTGTGGGGCAATTTTATCTCCTATATTTAATCTAATACCTGGAAAAAATTAACCTGGCAGAAATCAGATGTCTAATTTTTCAGTGCAGATCTTCTCTATATAGCTGATTAACATAGCTTTGTACAATTTCCTAAATAATTACCTCACCATTAATATCTTCCTAATCTTTATCATCAGTGCAGCCTAGCCTTCATTTTCTATCTTAATTGATTATTTGGTAAATTCCACTAATGAAAAGAGAAGTAAAAAGTGGAAATAGCAAAAAGCAGATAGAAAGACAGTTTTGGGAAGATTGAAATGAGGAAATGGAAAATTCCAAAAACATTCAGAAAAAAGTTACTAGTTGAAAACAAAGAGAGTGAAAGTAGAAGTGAGTTTGTTTATGGATATTCCAGTGTTAACACTATCATCTAAAGATAATTTATTGATCATCTATGGTAAAAAAAAAAAAAAAAAACACCCTGTTAGGTGCTATTATTTGGCCTTTCAGCAATCAGGGGTCATCTGTAATTCAACATTAACCCAGATTATTATCAGTGAAAGATGCAGAGATTAAAAAGAAAGAGGAAATGAGTACCTGTATATTCACAAGTTTTCATTATAAAAGTCCAAATTCATGAAACATAAATACTTATACTGCATTACTCATCCAAAGATTTAAAATTAGAGAAAAGAAACACTGTTTCCACTAAAGCAATATGCTTAGAACAGCTTTCAGAAGCATCTATAGATGTAATATATAATATACCCTCAGTTTAAATTTTGCCTCGATATCCCATACCATAGCCTTATAACTGTCAGTGGATATGTTTCAGATGTTATCTGGATTTTTTATCATAATTAATGGATTATGTTTTTCCCACAAATCTCCCAGGATTGGAAAAACTGAAATTTGTTTTTGCTTATTCTTATGGTTGGCTTTGTACAATTTCAATGAAATTCCCTAAACCTGTCACAGCTGTCTTAAGTACACTATAGGTGTCAGTAATAATTCTTTCATTTCATTTCTCACCTTGGTTATTGCTCAGAAGTCTCCCTGCTGTGCAAAATCAGCTTTTACTAAGAAATAGCAGCAGCAGTTTTGAATGACTAATAAGAAGCATTGCCTACAGAAGTTACAATTTACTGCGGTGGTATTGACAATATTCTATGGCAATAAACTTGTTATTTCAGTAAATGAGTAGGAAGTGAACTCTTAGTAATTTATAAAGGATGAATTGCCTTAGAATTCTAGACTCGTGATTATAGTCTTTTGTGCTACCATCATGGAACATTGTGTGAAGCAACACCAAAGACCCTTTAAAAGGAATTTTCACTTCTGGCCCTTTAGTTATATGTCTTTTAACTATGCACACACACAAACACACACACACAAATATAACAAACTAGAAAATATAAAGGGGCATAAATTAACACATTGAATTATCATAAGCAATTAAAACTGTAATAGGTGTATAAACATTCAGTAATTAAAAAAAATGTCATTGAGTGAATTCTGACTCATACTGACCCTATAAGACAGAGTAAAACTTCTCCATACAGTTTCCAAGAAGTGGCTGGTGGATTCAAACCGCCAACCTTTTGGTTAGCAACCTCAGCTCTTAATAGATCCCAATATACTGTGTTGTTGTTGTTGTAAAATATGCTGTTTAAAATGTGTGTTAAGTACTACCAGCAGCATAGTCTAGCCAAAGAAGGCTTTATGGTGGTATAAACTATATATGTTAAATAAATTATTTCATTCTGGCTCCTCTATGTGGATCCAGGAGCGGTGAAACATTACCCTTTGCCTTGTGTCAGAGGTTGGAGAATCATGTGGGCTACTTTAGTTTAAGTTGGATTTACTGACTCTGTGCTGTAAGTTGTGTGTACATACATATAATGCAAATTATGCTAATTCAAAATTTTAATAGGAAGCAGTTTTTACCATTGTTCCATGTCCCTTTAACAGGTACCACTACAATTGAAAAATATGACCTCAGGACCAACAGCTGGCTACATATTGGCACCATGAATGGTCGTAGACTTCAGTTTGGTGTTGCAGTTATTGATAATAAGCTCTATGTTGTGGGAGGAAGAGATGGTTTAAAAACGTTGAATACTGTAGAATGTTTTAATCCAGTTGGCAAAGTCTGGTCTGTAATGCCACCCATGTCAACACATAGACACGGCTTAGGTAAGAGCTTAATGTTTTGTAGCTTCTAAAGAATGTATAGTTGTAGTTAATATAGTCAATTGCTTAGAGCAGCACCTGGTACACAGTGAGTGCTCAATAAATGTCAGTTATTAAAAAAAAGCATGTATAGTTAGTAGAGTTTTCGTAAAAAATTAAGTCCACATCCTCATGGTTGGGATTTAGCCAAACCCTTGTTAAAATGTCTCCAGAATGCTTAAAAACCTTAAACAAATGGTAAAAGCCTGTGAAACTTTCTTCATGTTGCAGATGGCATACTTGTTAGTCCTGCTTCCCTTCTACCAGTATTTTAAAGGGATTCTATTTTAGGAGGGTTAGCAAGTTTAAGAAGAGATGCATTATTAAGGAACATAGAACTACATCGGGGAGTTTTCTTCAAAGCTCCACTTAGAGAAGATAGCACTTGATGATAGTGAGGCATTGTGGTCTAGTTGGATGACTCTTATCCATTCCCATAAGAGGCAAGTTTACATTTTAGCAAAAGCCTTTGGATACAGGTCCAAAGCAGATATATTTAGGAAAACTGCTTTGGTCGAGAGCAGCTATAAGTTATAATTAAGCCAGAGCTTCCCAAGAAGTTTTAGAAAGATGGAATGAGGCCTTCTACAGAAGTGGGAGAATGATTCTGTGGAATATTTACAGGTACATTCTTATTTATGCTAGACCCTGTAAGTTTTCAATTTCATAGCATTCGTTAAAAACAGAAGAATTGAATTTTTTTAAAGAATTTTACACAGCCAATAAGAGGCAGATCCAGGACTGGTATTATTTGCCTCTAAATAGCCTACTACATTGTCCATGTCAAATGATGCAATATATAATTATTCAGCTCAGTTGTGTCCAGTCTGAATCCTAGACATAGCTTAGAAAGCATGTATTACAGGGAAATCAAAGCCCTTTTTTGTTTGTTTTTATTTTTAATCTAATTGATACTACCAAGTAGGAGGGGTGAAGAGGATATACCTCTGAGATGCTGACTGAAATAGTGAAGAAAGTGGGGGTAAAAACCAATTATGCAAATTCCCAGAGCAGATGAAAAGCAGTTAGAAAGGAGCTATTCATAGTATCTAACAGAGAAAACTTCTAACTAAACCTCAAAAAAGCCCAGTCTGGTTAGGTATCTCCAGGAAATCTTTTTCTTTACCCTTTTATTAAAAAACAGGAATGAGAAAGACCTACCATAGTTTGCCTATAATTCTAAGATTTATCTAAGATTTAGTATCATATCTCATTTACCTCTTACTTTCAAAATATGGCATCCAAATCATCCTAGAAAAAAAATCGGCTCCCCTTTTCTACTACATTTCTATAAAAGGTACATTTCACTACCTCCTTTGGCTTCAGGGTTACAACAGTGATACTCTTTCGTAATGCTGTATTCATGCCTGAAAGTTCCCTAAGGTTAGAAGACCAGTTTAGCTTCATATGGGGATCAGTAAATTATTGATGTGTACACGAAACCATTTAAGAAATGAAACAAATTGCAAGCAGCCAGTAGCTTGCAAAATGAAACAATATCCATTCTGTGTGGCATACCCCGTTGAACCCTCATACTGTTTTCATCTTTTAGGTGTAGCCACACTTGAAGGACCAATGTATGCTGTTGGTGGTCATGATGGATGGAGTTATCTAAATACTGTAGAAAGATGGGATCCTGAGGGACGTCAGTGGAATTATGTGGCCAGTATGTCAACTCCTAGAAGCACAGTTGGTGTTGCTGCATTAAATAACAAGTGAGTAAACCTGAAGATGCATGTTCTTTGCTCCCAGGGTATGTAGTACAGCACTTCAGTGATGCGATCTGTCAATCAATAAAGCATTCTAAATGACCAGAACATCATAGTTATCAATAGTAAAAGGCTTTTCATGGAAACCTCTCCTCATTATGATGAATAAAAAACCCAACCCATTGCTGTCGAGTCGATTCCGACTCATAGCGGCAGAATAGAACTGCCCCATAGGGTTTCGAAGGAGCGCCTGGTGGATTAGAACTGCCCACCTTTTGGTTAGCAGCTGAACTCTTAGCCACTATATGCTTGTTGAAAATAAACATTTGATTAAACATTTTGTAGGCCCTTTCTACTCAAAGTGTGGCCCTGGGACCAGCAACACTGGCATCACCTAAGAGCTATGTAGAAAGGCAGAATCATAATGCCACCCTATACCTTCTGAATCAGAATCTTCATTTTAACAAGATCTTCAAGTGACTTGTGTGCACATTAAAGTTGGGAAGCACTTTTGTGAGCAAACCAGTTCCACTATTACCCTCAAGAAACTACTACTTTTTTTACATTATGACTTATTCTTGACTTATCAAAACTTTGCTCTGTCTTTGTAATAGGACTAGTCATTCTATTCTTCAGCATTCCCTCTCATGGGCTTTCAAGTTTCCCAAGTACAAAATCATAGCTAGTTCTACCATTTCTGAATCTTTCCCCCTTCCTGATCACTTGCCTATGAGAGCAAGCTAATATACTAAAACCTGATGATGTTAGAGGATGCCAAGAGCTTGAATTGTTACTTCTCACAGGAAATTATGCACATTCAGACAGGATACCTTTGGAGACAACAACCAGCATATAGGAGGGCTTGAGTGATGAGAATTCAGACACCATCATGGGTCAGTGGCAGGAGACAGCCTTGTGTGCCTGTCCTGATTATGCATAAAGCCAATACCTCATCATGTAAATGGGCTCAGTACAAATGTCAACACGGATGGTTTTTAGCACCTTGCCGAGGAAGAAATAGGAAATGTTAAGAGGAGACCCAGTCTTACAGTGTCTTAGAGCTTAAAGTAATTCTAAATCTGACAATCACTGGCTTGTCCTGAGAGTGTCAGGTCGTTCAGTACCTTCTATTACTGAACAAATTGAAATCATCAAATTTGACTCATTTAAATTTGTTTTGCTGAGTTGCTATTGTTCAAAATTCAGTGTGAAGGCCAGTTATGTACAAGTAGTTTAGTATTTATTAATCCAGGATTAAGTTTAAACTAAATTAAAATTTCCACTCATCAAAAGAATGGGCGTTTTAAAGTTTATGGGAGAAGTGTCATAGCCAATGTTTCTTCTTAGGAAAAATCTGGTTTCTAGGTTCTCTCCTATTTCCTTATTTGTATATTAAGTTAATGTCTTCTTAGTGATAAACACTTTTTTGCTAAATAAAGTAGTTCATGAAAATAAAAGGGCACTCTAATGCTAGGCAAGTGATCCTAGCTAAAATTGTAAGAATGGTAAAGTTGGTGTTTGGAACCATCCTACCAACACTTTTGACGTCTCTCTCCTTTCCTGTAATTCATTTCTCATGGGATCAAAGTTACTTTGACAAAAATGATGAGGGGGGAGTTTGGGGAGTAGGGGAGACCTTAACAGGTGCCCTGAGGTAACTATCCATTCATAAACTCAGTCTGACTGCTACAAAATAGTGAGTGTATAGAATATATAGTTAAAGAGTTGGAATGATTTGTGCATGGTTCTCACTTTCATCCTATGTACAAAATGGAAATGTTTTTACAATGTGTGTGTGTGTGTGTGTGTGTGTGTATGTGTGTATACATGTGGTTGTTGTTAGGTGCCAAGTCAATTCCAACTCATAGCGAACTTATGCACAACGGAATGAAGCACTGCCCAGTCCTGGGCCATCCTTACAGTTCTTGCTACGTTTGAGCACATTGTTGCAGCCACTGTGTCATTCTCATTCCTCGCTGACCTTCTCCTTCAGCAAGCATGACGTCCTTCTCCGGGGACAGATCCCTCCTGATAATATGTCCAAAGTACATGAGATGAAGTCTCGCCATCCTCTCTTCTAAGAAGCATTCTGGCTGTACTTCTTCCAAGACAGTTTGTTCTTCTGGCCGCCCATGGTATATTAAATATTCTTTGCCAACACCATAATTCAAAGACATCAGTTCTTCTTTGGTCTTCCTTATTCATTGTCTTAGTCATCTAGGGCTGCTGTAAGAGAAATACCACAAGCGGATAACTTTAACAAAGAGCAATTTATTTTCTCAGTCTAGTAGGCTATAAGTCCAAAATCAGGGCATCAGATCCAGGGGAAGGCTTTCTCTGTCAGCTCTGGAGGAAGATCTTTGTCATCAATCTTCCCCTGGTCTAGGAGCTTCTCCGCGCAGGAACCCCAGGTCCAAAGGATGCGCTCTGCTCCTGGCACTACTTGCTTTCTTGGTAGTATGAGGTCCCCAGCTCTCTGCTCACTTCCCTTGTATGTCTTGTAAGATAAGAGGTGGTGCAGGCCACACCCTGGGGAAACTCCCTTTACATTGGATCAAGGATGTGACCTGAGCAAGGGTGTTACATCCCACCCTAATCCTCCTTAACATAATCTAATCTTGCTTCATTAACCACAGGCAGAGATTAGGATTTACAACACATAGGAAAATTAGATCAATCACAAAATGGAGGACAACCACACAATTCTGGGAATCATGGCCTAACCAAGTTGACACACATTTTGGGGGAACAAAATTCAATACATGACACTCCATCCTTTGGCCCCCCAAAATTCATGTCCTTGCCACATGCAAAACACATTCACCCCATCATATCATAGCAGAAGTCTTAAAACAACTCCAAGTCCAAAATCCAAAAATCCCTCTTCATCTGAGAAATCTACAATACAAGTTATCAGCTTCCAAAGTACAGAGGCAGAACAGGCACAAGCTAGACATTTCCATTTCCATTACAAATAGGAGAAATTGGAGGGAAAGGAGGCATAATAGGCACTAAGCAAGTCAGCAGAACACATTACATTAGCCCTCAAGGCTTTGAAAATAATCCTATGTTCTCTGAGACCATTTACACAATAGCCCTGCCCTCCAGACTCTAGGTATTGGCCACACTTTCTGGATTCTGAGTGGAGGCCCCTCGGCCCTGGGCTTCAGCTCTGCCTTCCAGGCCCACTGGGACAGCAACTCTGCTCCCTTGGTTTTAGGCGGACCATTCTCCTAGTCCTTCTGAGTGGTAATTCCACCCTTAGAAATGCTAGAGGGCAAGGCTCCACCCTTTGAAACTGCAGAGATTGTGGCCATACCTTTTGAGACTGAGGCAGCTCAGCTTCCTGTGTTCCTTGGCATGTCAACCCTCGGGCCTCACATCCGCATCTGCCCTGCTGGGGCAAGTGTTCCAAAGCTCTGTAGCTCCACCAATAAGTACCTGGAGGCACCCCACTCTGCCAGGAAGCCTCCTGCGCACGGGCACTCAGCTCTCTCACTCCGTGGGTCGGCAAGCCTAGCTCCACCAATAAGTACCTGGAAGCACCCCACTTCGCCAGGAAGCCTCCTGCACACAGGCACTCAGCTCTCACACTCCGTGGGTAGGCTGCAGTGCTGTCTGGCTCTGGTCTCCTGGTTCGGCTGCTGCCGGTTCACTGCTGCTGCCAGTCCTCTGCTGCTACCAGTCCTCTGCTGCTGTTTCTCACCATCTGCGCCTTCTCCGGTGTTAACAGTTCTCCTCACTTCCTTCTGAGTCTTCTATCCATTCACAGTTTCAAAACAGCCTCCACATTTTAAGTATGTATTAGAGCAACACCCTAGTCTCTCAGTACCAAATTCTGTCTTAGTCATCTAGTGCTGCTATAACAGAAATACCACAAGTGGATGGCTTTAACAAAGATAAATTTATTTTCTCACAGCCTAGTAGGCTACAAGTCCAAATTCAGGGCGTCAGCTACAGGCGAAGGCTTTCTCTCTCTGTTGGCTGTGGAGGCATGTCCTTGTCATCAGTCTTCTCCTGGCCTAGGAGCTTCTCCGTGCAGGAACCCCAGGTCCAAAGGATGTGCTCTGCTCCTGGCGCTGCTTGCTTTCTTGGTAGTATGAAGTCTCCAACTCTCTGCTTGCTTCCATTTTATCTCTTGTAAGATAAGAGGTGGCACAGGCCACACTGCAGGGAAACTCCCTTTACATTGGATCAGGGATGTGACCTGAGCAAGGGTGTTACATCCCACCCTAATCCTCCTTAACATAATCTAATCTTGCTTCACTAACCACAGGCAGAGATTAGGATTTACAACACATAGGAAAATTATGTCAATTACAAAATGGAAGACAACCACACAATACTGGGAATTATGGCCTA